GCCCCTGTTGGCCCCTATTGGCTCCCACTGGTCCCGTTATTCCCCATTGGCCCCCATTGGCCCCAATTAGCCCCAATTAGCCCCGATTAGCCCCGCTCACGTCCCGCAGCAGGCGCTCCATGTTCTCCTGCAGCTCGCCAAAGTAGCCGGCGCTCAGCAGCCCGAGCCCCATTGGCCCTCATTGGCCCCCATTGGCCCCAGTTAGCCCCAATTAGCCCTGATTAGCCCCAAATTAGCCCCCAATTAGCCCCGATTAGCCCCAATTAGCCCCGCTCACATTCCGCAGCAGGCGCTCCATGTTCTCCTACAGCTCCCTGAAGTAGCCGGCGCTCAGCAGCCGGAGCCCCATTGGCCCCCATTGTTCCCCATTGTTCCCCATTGGCCCCCATTGGCCCCCATTGATCCCCATTGGCCCCAGTTAGCCCCAATTAGCCCTGATTAGCCCCAAATTAGCCCCAAATTAGCCCCAATTAGCCCCGCTCACGTCGCGCAGCAGGCGCTCCATGTTCTCCTACAGTTCCCTGAAGTAGCCGGCGCTCAGCAGCCCGAGCCCCATTGACCCCCATTGGCCCCCATTAGCCCCCATTGGTGTCCTTTGCCCCAATTAGCCCCAGTTAGCCCCAATTAGCCCCAATTAGCCTCGCTCACGTCGCGCAGCAGGCGCTCCATGTTCTCCTACAGCTCCCTGAAGTAGCCGGCACTCAGCAGCCCGACCCCCATTGGCCCTCATTGGCCCCCATTGTTCCCCATTGGCCCCCATTGGCCCCCATTGATCCCCATTGGCCCCAGTTAGCCCCAATTAGCCCCAATTAGCCCCAATTAGCCCCAATTAGCCCCGATTAGCCCCGATTAGCCCCGCTCACATCGCGCAGCAGGCGCTCCATGTTCTCCTGCAGCTCGCCGAAGTAGCCGGCGCTCAGCAGCCTGAGCCCCATTGGCCCCCATTGTTCCTCATTGGCCCCCATTGGCCCCCATTGGTCCCCATTGGCCCCCACTGGCCCCCATTGGCCCCCATTGGCCCCCATTGGCCCCCATTAGCCCCAATTAGCCCCAATTAGCCCCAATTAGCCCCGATTAGCCCCGATTAGCCCCGATTAGCCCCGCTCACGTCGCGCAGCAGGCGCTCCATGTTCTCCTGCAGCTCGCCGAAGTAGCCGGCGCTCAGCAG